GGAAAAAAAAAAAAAAAAAAAAAAACCTCTTTTAAAAAAATTCACCTGGGGCCAGCAGGTGGTGTGGTGGTTAAGGGCTCTGGACTCCCACATGGCCAGCCAAATGCACTTTGAATCCTGGACCTGGCAACTTACTTTCTCACTTCCCTTCTCTCTCTCTCTCTCTCTGTCACTCTCACTCTCACTCTCATTCTGTTCCTCTCTGGTCAAATTTAATAAATAAAGTACGTTCAATAAAATTCTTTGCAAAAATAAATAAGGGGCTGGCATGTAGCATGGTTGTTAAGGGCGCTGGACTCCCACATGGCTGACTGTGGTTCAAGTTCCAGACCTGGCAGCTTGTTTTCTCACTTTCTCTTCCTCTTTGTCCCTCTCTGGTCAAAATAAAAAGGATGAATAAAGTTAAATTTAAAAAATTATTTTAAAAAGTAAATAAAACCTGAAACAAACCTATTGGGACACTTTCTGAGCACGGCTGGCTGTGTCTAAGTATTCCCTACTCTGTGACCCATGACATATGAACTTCATACTTACGTCTCTAAATGGCTCTTGAGCAAGTCATACACAAGCACGTTATTATACTGCTTTGCAAAGTGCAAGGCACTGTTCTGGTGCTTCGACAAAATGTTGCAGTCAGCCCCACACTCAATTACAAGTCGTACGATGTCCGAATTTCCCCGTTTACAGGCCTGAAGTCAGGAGAACAGGAGTAACGATTACTTCATAAAAGTGCTAGCTCAACTCTTTCTCCCATATGCTTGGACATTTTCTGTGAGAGACAAAGTAATGTAAGAGACAAGAACACCTGGGGCCAGAAACCGCTGCATTGTTACATCAGCGGCACCTGGGTGCTCCCTTTACTCAGCCTGCAGCACAGAAATCCATGCTTTGTTCTTCACTGACCGACCTTTCGACGGGCAACTTACAAGTGTACGTAAGTCTCAAGACAAAACAAACAGCAGGTCTGTCTCTTGGCAATCTTTGCATCTCTCTCTGCTGTGGGCTGTCTCCCGTGAGCCTGCATCTCTGCAGAGGCCCAGTTATAGATAAGGAAGGCTGGTCCTTACTATTAGGTCTGTACTGAGAATCTCTAACACACTTCACAGGATCATAAAACATCCAAATTTCCCCGCAGGTGCTCTGAAGGAGGCTAATTAAGCACACAGATTTCCATCTACAAATCTAAGCTGGAGCTGTGACAGCTGTCAAAAGGATAACTGGGGATAGCAGGATGCATGGTATTGAGGTGGCTGGATCCCACATAGCTGACTGTGTGGTTTGTATCCAAACCCCTCTGGATTCTTGGGAAACATACCAAGCACATGTGTGCATGCGCAAAGTCCCAAGCAGATTAACAGGTGGAGAAAGGACTGCAGTTGGCTGTGGCCTCTTGGGGGGGGGAGGAGGTGCTTTCTTATCGCCCTCTGGTGAACACATGCCCTCTGGCACATTATGAAAAAAGGGGAGGAAGCTAACAGTCCTGCTTGTTACACAGCTGATCTTAAACAACTGCAGAGACACAGGCCCCTGCAGGTTACAGGGCAGGGCCTGCCTCTGCACAGTGTAGCTGGGGTGGCTGCCCTAGCCTCAAGGCCAGGGAGCTGCTGGGTGTCCTGCTGTGCACAGGGCACTGGACAGCAGTGACCAGGAAGACCAGCCCGGATGAAACAACTAGACCTCCAACATCCACAATGAAGGCAGTTTCTCTGTAACCTCACTCTAGTCATGACCAATTTTTTTCCAGAGGGGAAAAAAACACCCTGCCCAACCCATTACCCCCATGCTCCTGGGCAACATCCCCTCTGTACCCACTGCACGCACTCCCCTCCACCTCAGCACATGCAAACTCCCAAAGGCCCATTTCCACACACCGTCGTGCTGGCTGTGTCCTGTGGACATGCTGCCTGCCTGCCACTCCCCCCTTGTTATCACCCTGTTTCTCTGGCCCTTCCCATGTCGTCTCCTTCCATCCTGGGCCTTTCTCTCCTTTCCCACTGTTAGTGACACCCCCCTCCCCGGTCTACAGGAATTGTTCTTACCTAGACTGACAACCCCCAAATTTGAATCTCCAGTCCACCTCTCCACTAAGCTTACAGTTCCAATGTGAGATGGCTCCTGAGACTGCAACTGCACAGCTGAATGCCTGTCTGTACACACCGAGAGGCCTGTTTACTAGCTAGGGAAATAAAACACCGAGGCATCAACTTCTGTTACCAAATTCGGTGAGTTCTACCTCCAAAGAAGCTGGGGAATCGACTCACTTTCATCCCCTCAGTCACTACTTAGGTAGTATTAATGCATGTGATCTTCACTCCCGACAAGTCTGTGAATAGCATTTCTCTCCAATCCATTTCCTCTAATAAGGAATATTAAAACAAATGAAAATCTTGGATCTGATTATCTTTTTCCAGCTTAAACTCTTTGGTTGCTGCCAAATGCCCTCAGAAGGCCACCTAGTGTTTATGTCCCCCTCCAGAATTATCTAAAGCACTGTTCAAATGTGCCCAGTGATCTCACTGCAATGAGGCTGTGAGAGGCAGGCTCTGCTGTCAACATAATGGTGGTAGGAGAAACATATAAGGGAAATGAGAGATTCAAAGCTCAGGTTGTGTCTGAAATATGTTTTCATCAACCAAAAATGAAATAGCCACACAAAGTAGCAAGCAAAGCTTAGAACTGGCATGGGGCAGAAGGCTGCATCCCAGGAAAGCGAGCTGTCACACTGAGAAGTGAGCCGACCACCCTGCACTCGGTGTCTGGCCCTGTAGGGCAGGAACCCAGAACTGCCACAAACGAATGCACAGGCTAGGGCTGAGGCTCCCATAAGGAAAATGCAATACCACTGAGCAAGTAGGTGTCACAGGCTAGGAAGGGGCTTTAACCACCTCCCACTCAAGACGTCTGCAGATTCCAATTCCAAAACGTGAAATCTGAGGCTAAGGAGACCTATCACCAACGTGAAATAGTAACACACACAGTAACTTGTGCTCTTTTCTATTCCCAGAACCTGCTTCCAGGCCTGTAGTCCTGCCCATGTGACTCTAGCTCCGGCTAAGGCCTCCTGTCCCCACCCACCCCTCCCTCCCCAGGCTTCTCTGGGGCCACAAGGTACATTTCTGTGCCTGTTCCATTCTGTCACTGCCACAGCAAGCTCTACCTGCCACTGTGCTGCTGTGTATCTCCTGCCCCCAGGAGCGGCACTGCCACAGCTACCATCTGCTGTGATGATGCAGGTGTTCTTGTCCCGCAAGACCTTCCCAGCCCCAACACATGAGGATGAACAAACTGCTGAGACTGCAGGAACAGCTCACCCATGAAATGGACTCACCTTCATCAGCGCAGTCTCACCATTGCTCTGCTGGACGTTTACAAAGGCTCCCGCTTCCAAAAGAATAGCCACTGTGGTTAAAAAGTTCTATTAAAAAACAAACAAAAAAAGATATAATCCCCAAAATTCTTTAAAAGATATTTTTATATGTTTTGAAATTTTCAGTCATCAGGAAAAATACAGAGATTCTGTCCCGATCAATTGTAGGCACAAGGCCCCTGGCTCTGCCCCTTGAGTTCCCGAGAGCAGCTACTGCTGTTCCACCTGCACGTGAGGGCTTACTGCTGACTTCAATCTGAAAAGACAATTTGGGAGACCCAGCAGGTGGCATAGTGGGTAAGGTGCTGGACTCCCATGTGGCTGACTGATGTTCGAGTCCCGGACCTGGCAGCTATGCAAAAAAAGTAATGAAATAATAATAGCAAATGAAATTAAATAATTCTTTTAAAAAAAATTAAGGGGAAGGACCAGCAGTTAGCGTGATGGCTATGTCACTGGACTCCCACGTACTCGATCGTGATCCAAGTCCTGGACCCGGTGGCTTAAACTCACGCCGGGCGCATGTGCGTGTACGCCCAAGATCCTGAGAGGAGAATGGAGAAGGGACTGCGGCGTGGCCATCCCCCCTGGGGGGTGATTTCTTGTTTTCTATCTCTCTGTCTCTCTCTCTCCGTCTGGTGAGCGCACGCGCTCTATAGCAAAAACCCTCTCCAAAAAAAACAAACAAACAAACAAACAAAAAAAACAATTAATGGGGAAAAGGCAATGTAGGGGCCAGCAGGTGGCATAGTCGGTAAGGTGCTGGTGCGTGTGCTCAATATCCTGAGAATGGAGAAGAGATTACAGAGTGGCCATCCCCCAGGGGGAATGATTTCTTGCTTTCTATCTGTCTCTCTGGTGAGTGCACATGCCCTATACCAAAAGTATCTCTCAAAAAAAAAAAAGCTAATCTATGGGGCCATTCTTATTAATATCCAAAAGAAATACCTAATTTCAGTTGTATTTTTAAATTACCTAAGATGACAATCAATATTAGTACTTTAATCAACAGTTCTCTATAAATTACTGCTACTTCCAACTAGATAAATTACATGTTGAAAATTTTTATTACATACTATTACTACTGATTAAAACAATTCATTCATTACATGTCAGATTAACACACACAAAATTACAAGGTCATGTGACTGTGTGACTGCTCTAATTCACTACAGAGCCAGATTTTCTTAGGCCATCAGCAAGAGTTTCCAGGAAGACTCAGAGACTGATGCAGCTAAAGGCACGAACCTTCTCCGCAGCGTGAATGAGGGCAGTTGTCCCGTTCTTCTGCCGCCCATTCACTTTTGCTCCTTTTGTGATGAGGAGTCGCAGGAGGTCATCCTGTCCTCCCGCAGCAGCAAGCATCACTAGTGTCATCCCACTAGAATCCTGGGTTCGTTTTGTTAAAAAAAAGCAAGCACACAAAACAAAAAATAAGCTAATATTTAATCGAAACTATTTTAGAGACAAGTATTTTCACTTAACATGTCTAAATATGAAATCACTGAAGTACAATGATTTAAGCATCTACTTAGGTTTGATTTTTTTAAAAAAAGTATTTTATTTAGCTTTATTGATTTATTTTATTTTTATTGGTTTATTTTAATTTGACCATTGAGGGACAGTGAGAGAGAGAGACAAAGTGAGGAAACAAGTCACCAGGTCCAGGACTCAAACCGTGGTTGGCCATGTGGGAGTCCGGCGTCCTTAACCATCAGGCCCCACTTAGGTTTGATTTCGATAGCCTGGTTAGAAAAAGTAGGAGTGGGAGCTGGCAAGTGACATGGTGGTTAAGGGCACTGGACTCCCACATGGCCGACCACAGTTCAAGTCCTAGACCTGGCGATTTGATTTCTCAATACCCCCACACTCTGGTTAAATTAAAATAAATAAATAAAATGAGATAATTCTTAAAAAAAAAAAAAAAGGAATGGGGACCAGCAGTTTCCGTAATGGCTAAATCGCTGGGTTCCCATGTAGACAACCACGGTTCGAGTCCCACACCTGGTGGCTTAATCTCACACCGGGAGCATGTACATGCGTGCCCAGGATCCCAAGAGGAGAATGGAGGAGAAGGGATTGCGGTGTGGCCAACACCCCTGGGGGGTGATTTCTCACTTTCTGTCTCTTTGGCGAGCGCATGTGCCCTATAGCAAAAACCTCTCCCACAAAAAAAAAAAAAAAAAAAAAGAATGAATAAAAACACTAAATACCACAGGAAGATAACAAAATATTATAAAACATGTATGAAATATATCTGAAAGAAATATGCAGACTTCTATGAAGAAAGAGAGAAAAAAAACTCAGGGAGTTTTGCTTAAGAGAATAAATGAAGAGCTGTAAATGTAAAGATGGGTCATGCTCCTAGAAGGAAGACTCAAGATGTAAATAAAGTCAACTCTCAGCCAAATTAATCTACATTTCATGCCATCTCAGTCAAAATCCCATCAAGTTTTTGAACTGTAATCCCATAAAATTAAACCTAAAAAACTACTACCAAAGCTAGAAAACTAAAATATAAAAGGTTTTCCTTTCCTAAGACAAAAAATGCAAGAGTCATAAATGAGATGACTGACACAAAAATCCTTTAAGCAACGGATGACTTCAAACACAAAACCTGAAAACTAGGATGAATTAATACGCTTTCATATGAAAGATTAAAAAACTGTGTATCAATATGAAAAGTCCCCAGCAACCACAGAAAGATGGGCAACTGCTACAAATGATCAAGGACCAAAGAAACACCAGTGGCCACATGAACATGGGATTCATGTTACACTCCTCGGATAAACAGAGGGTGAACCACAGACAAAACCGGATAGATCATTTTAAAAAGTAAACATGCATTGCCTCTGCAGTTAAAAAATGACAAAAATCGAACTGAATTCTTTTCAGAGAGCTACTTTCCATCTTCTTTTCATGAGATTTTCAAAGACGTATTACCTCTTGGTCCAGGTTATACTCTTCATCTGAATTAAGTGCAACCTTTACAGTAATATAATCCCCATTTTTCACAGCATCTCTCAACAAATCTGAAGTGAAAGAAAAGATAAATGTGGTTTGAGGTAGCTAGGTTTGAGAAAGGGATCCTTCTAATTCTAAAATGACTCACTGCTTGGAATTGCATCTGCTGCAGCAAAATCCTCATCTTCCCCATCAAGGTGCTTTTGGAAATCTTCTAATTTCATCCATTCTAACTGCAAGTCCATGCCCAAATTCAAAATCTGTTGCCTGCCATCTGAAACACACAAAAAGTCTTATTAACATATTTTTTTGGAATATAAAAAAAAAAACCCACAATGCTGTTTATTAAATCTGTAGTGCTTTAGCAGAAACTGTGTGTACATTATTTTTTTTTTTTTGAGAGGTTTTTGCTATAGGGCGCGTGTGCTCGCCAGAAAGACAGAGACAGAGAGACAGAAAGTGAGAAATCACCCCCCAGGGGGGATGGCCATGCTGCAATCCCTTCTCCTCCATTCTCCTCTCGGGATCTTGGGCATGCACACACATGTGCTCGGTGTGAGTTTAAGCTGCCAGGTCCAGGACTCGAACCACGGTCGACTACGTGGGAGTCCAGCGACATAGCCATTACGCTAACTGCTGGTCCCATGTACATACACTTTTAACATAGATCATTATACAGTTCGAGTCTTTAATTGATAAATTCTTGATTTTCTCTGTGAGGTTATATGAATGATTTGCATTTAGATGCCATGGGCTTCAAAGCAACAGACATAAATAGGTAACCTGTAAAGTGGGAATTTTAAGTACAGGACTATCCAGGTTTTTATATATCTAGATATGAAAGGAATTTCTCATAGGGGGAATCACAAGCATTCAGTAAGACTCCAAAGTAATTCTAAAGTAACTTCCGTCTTCGGCCTTTCTTAGATGGAGTACGTTGTTTCAGCCCTTTACAGAGATATGCAGACCAGATCTTCATGTAAATACATCACCGACTGCTGATCCTTATGACCAGACCGGGACTAGTTTCCTCCCCCAGCTATGGGAACCATGGGCTCATTACCACTGGGAACATGAATGGGCATTCTCATTACCACTGAAATAAAGCACAGAGATCTCAGTACAGTTCATCTGCGAGTAACTCAAAATTACGCTATTTTATAAAAAGGAAAAATTGGGTCAGCATGATAGTTAAGGGTAGCTGGATCCCACACGGCTAACTGAGCAGTCTGAGTATCTGACGTGGTAGCCTCAGAAAGACACTGGATGTATTTGCGTGCATGCCCAAAATGCCGAAGAGAGAGAGATGGAGAAGAAATGACCATTCCCCATGGGGGATGTTTTATCACTCTTAGTCTCTTTCTCAGGAGTGTACATCCCCTCTGGCAAAATTTTTAAAAAAATAAAAAAAAAAGGTAAGAATGCAACCTAAAACCAATTCCTCAAACTACACAGATGTTGAGCATAAAACCTTGCCACAGAATAGAAGTTTGTAAAAGACATGGAAATAAATGAATTTTTTCCAAAGGCCCCAACGCTCGTCTCGCTGAGAACATGATGCCACAGAAACAGTACCACTGAGTCACACATCCTGGTTCTGCATCCCAGCTCCCTTTCTGCTGTGTGTGGCTCTGATTAAGTCGGGACATCTCCCCAGACCTCAATTTTTGAGTGATAGCAGTGGAAACAGTATGCCTAAGATGCTTTAATGTATTTACGTGAATTCATTCATTTTCTCCATCATGATAACCTGTAATGAGACACACGGCACAGAGAGGAGAGGCTTCGGAAGGCCCTGGGGTCTGCCAAGAAACACACGAGCAAGCCTCAGACCTGCACGGAGTCTGCTCCTGCCCAGAGCAAGCTTCGTCATAGCAGCACAGTAAGCTGGTGCAGGAGAACAGTGAGGAGCCACATCAACTCTGTTTCCTTTAACTCAAAGGACCATGCTGCCAATGCTAGAACGCTCCTGGATCAAAACCACCAAGTTCCAATTGTGCTGCAGATCAGACTATGAGCTCTAATGAAGGAAACTGGTTCAAAACTGATGTTCATCCAAAAAAACAAAACAAAACAAACTGATGTTCATTCCACCAAGTGCTGGCTCTTGCCTCAGAACCTGATACCTTTAACTTTTTTTTTTTTTTAAATGGAGAGAGAGAAAGCACCCCCTAGCCGGTCACACAATGATCCTCCTTCAGTTCTCCATCTCATCATGATCCCGAGTACACGCATGTGTGCCTGAGCATGCTCAAGCTGTCAGGACTGGGACCTGAACAGCAGTTGGCCATATGGAATCTGGCTTTCTCTGCCCAGTGCCTAAACACTGAGTTATGGGCTTGCCCTCTCTCTCTAACATGGTAAAGAACGCGTGGTGGTTAGAGTGGCTGGTCTCGCGCTGGGCGTGTGCATGTGTGTAAGCCCCGAATCCCAAGAATGGAAGAGAAGGGACTGTGGCACGGTCATTCCCCCTTGAAGGTGCTTTGTCACTTAACCCCCCACCATGAGCACATGCACCTTAAATTAAAAAGCAAAACAAACAAGTGAAGTGAAACGATGAAGGACACATCTGTGACCAACAGAACCTCGAGTGCCTGTGCACTTTAGCCACCCTTTCCACCGTGTCATTCACATGTGGAGCCTCTGTCTGACCTCCCATCTTCTTTTAAGATAATTTTGTCATAATTACACATATCCCCCCCAAAAATATGGTTAATTTTTTTTTTTTTTTTTTAAGTTTTACTATGGAGCTTGTATGCTAACCAGAGACTATAAAAGTGGTAAAGTGAGAAATTGCCCCCCGGGGTATAGCCACACCCCAATGCCTTCTCCTCCAATATCTTCTTGGGAATCTGAGCACGCATATGCACGTGCCCAGTGTGATTTTCAAACCAATGGATCTGGGACTCCAACCGCAGTCTGCCACATGGGATCCCTCTGCCTTAACCTCCATGCCATCTTCAGGCCTTCTGCTTTTTTCTAAAAAAAAGAAAACCTACTGGCATTCTACAGATATTCTGGACACTCATCCTTGTTTCTCACTCTTTACTTAATAGTAGCTTTGGGACCAGCAGGAGGCATGGTTGTTAAAGGTGCTGAATTCCCACATGGCTGACTGCAGTTTGAGTCCCAGACCTAGCGGCTTGCTTTCTCGCTTTCCCTTTCTCTCTCTCTCTGGTCAAATTAAAAATAGTAACAACAAATAGAATCAAATAAATAACTAAAAAAAGGTAGCTTTGAGGAACAAAACTTACTTTGTGGTCAACTTTTATCACTCAATCATTTACTTATTTATTTATACTGCCAGATGTGCACTGACGCAAGGGAAGGTGCCTCGCAATGGGGTACGATCATATCACAATCCTTCTTCCTCCATTCCATTAGGAATTCAGCTACACACACATACACCTAGTACGTTTTCAAGTTGCCAGAGCCAGGACTTCGAACTGGGCTAGCCATGTGGAATCTGGCTCCCAATGCATAACACCCAACCACTGTACTACAGGGCCAGCCCTATTACCCTTTTATTAAGATTTCATGTTATTTATCATTAGTATTGCAATTTGAACAGAGAGAAGGAAAGTGAGAAGGCTGCCAGCAGGCCCTGAACTATGGTCGGCCATGTGGGAGTCTAGTACCTTAATCACGACACCACCTGCTGCCCCCTCTTTTATCTTTTACTCTTTTATGTTTTTTGGTGTGTGTCTCGTTTAAGAAATTATTTCCTACCCACAAGGGTCATGTATTATCCTAATCCTCTAAATACCTAAAACCTAAATACCTTCTCTCTAGTTGAAGTGGATTTGATTTTATGTATGTTAGTTTTGTCATTTGCATAATCTAGAATCCTGATCCCAGTAATGAAGAGCTTGTCTTGCCAGCATGAACTGTGTGGTGCCTCTTGTCCTTGAACCAGCTGTTGGATCTGCATGGGTCTGACTTAGGATTCTACTCTGTTGCACTAATCCACTTTCTCTGTACCACATAACCACTGTATTGACAGCTGCAGTTTTAAACAGGTTTTTTTTTTTTTGAGAGGCTTTTGCTATAGGTGCGTGTGTTTGCCAGAAAGACAGAGAGAGACAGAGAGATAGAAGCGGAGAAATCAACCCCCAGGGGTGATGGCCATGCCGCAATCCATTCACCTCCAGTCTCCTCTCAGGATCTTGGGCATGCATTCACACGTGCCTGGCGTGAGTTTAAGCCACAGGGTCCGGGACTCAAACTGCGGTCAACTACGTGGGAGTCCAGTGACATAGCCATTATGCTAACTGCTGGTCCCTACACAGTAGGTTTTGATTACTACTGAGATAATAGGCTTTATTCGTTTTCTTAGTTACATAAATTTCACAAATGTTAGTAAATTTCATTAAAAAACTATGTTGAGATTTTTGTTGGAAGTGCAGCAATGTAGTAAGAGAAAAAAGATAAATTTATAAAAATGTCTAGTAAATGAACCCCCATCTTTCACCATTAACAAAAATCAACTCAAAATGGATCAAAGATCTGAACCTAAGACCTCAAACAATAAAACTACTGGTGGAAAATGCTGAGGAAACTCTGGAAGACATTGGAGTAGGCAAAGACTTCTTAAATAAGATGCTCAAAGCACAGGCCATAATCCCTAAAATAGACAAGTGGGACTATATCAAACTAAGAAGTTTCTGCACACCAAAGGACACAGTAACAAGTGTGAACCAACAACCCTCAGAATGGCAGAATATTTTTGTTAAATATGCCTCAGACAAGGGACTGATAACAAGAATACACAGGGAACTCAAGCGCCTTATGCGAAAAAAAAAATTAACCCAATTAAAAGATGGGAAAATGAGCTGAACAAAAATCTCTCTAAGGAAGACATATGAACAGCCAAAAACCATATGAGGAAATGCTCAACATCCCTCATCATAAGGGAGATGCAGATAAAAACCACAATGAGATACCACCTAGCCTCTGTCAGAATGGCAAAGATTAAAAATATAAAATGTGATGGGGGACCAGCAGGCGGTGTGGTGGTTAAGGCACCCTGGTGGCTTGCTTTCTCACTTTCTCTTCTCTCTCTCTCAATCTCTCTCTCTCTCGTTGATCAAATTAAATAAAAATGAGTGAATAAATAAAATTAAATAAATAATTTCTAAAACTATTTTAAAAAATATATAAAATGTGCTAAGTATTGGTGGGGAGGTGATGAAAAGGGAACTCTCCTACACTGTTGGTGGGAATGTAAACTGGTTCAGACACAGTGGAGACAATATGGAGGTTCTTCAAAGATCTACAAATAGAACTACCATTGATCCAGCAATCCCACTTCTGGGTATGTACCCAAAGGACAGGAGAATGCTCAGTTGGATAAGTGCTTGCACATCAGTGTTTACTGCAGCATTATTCACGATTGCCAAAACATGGAAACAACCCAAATGTCCACAGAAGATGAATAGATTGGAAAAGTGTGGCACATATAATCTATGGAATACTACTCAGCCATAAAAAACCAAGACTTTGGCATTTGATAGAAAGTGGTCAGAGATGAAGGATCTATTGCTGAGTGAAGCCAAGATATGAAAGAAAGATACTGTATGTATCCACTTTATACTGTCTGCACTCTATGGTAGAGATCAAAATATTGGAGGACATAAAAGTAGTGAAAATAGTTAATGATGATAAGACAGTGTAGAATGGGGCAGGAGAGGAGAAGAGTATAGAGAAAGATAGCAAGAGAATAGAGAGGCATGACATTAGTAGGACACATATGGCTTATTACCTGTTGAGGATGACGTGTATAGTATTCTCAACTGGATTGGTCTTGAGAAGTATTTCATGTTGGGTGAAGCCTTTTTTTTTTTTTTTTTCCCATCTTCTTCTTCTTTTGGAGAGGTTTTTGCTATAGAGGGCTTATGCTCACCAGAAAGACAGAGAGAGACAGAAAGCGAGAAATCACCCCCTGGGGGATGGTCACGCAGCAATCCCTTCTCCATTCTCCTCTCGGGATCTTGGGCACGCACGCACATGCGTCCAGCATGAGTTTAAGCCACCGGGTCCAGGACTCGAACCGCGGTCAACTACATGGGAGTCCAGTGACATAGCCATTACGCTAACTGCTGGTCCCATGTTGGATAAAGTCTTTTTATAAGCAAAATGAGAAATAGTGATTGACTGTTTAAAAAATAATTGTAATAATAATAATGATAATGATGATCAGGAAAAATAATGAAAAGCTATTGGATGATGAAATGGGGATTTTAATGTCTCTGTGTTGACTGACGTGCATGGCATTCCTTCTGGAAAAAGAATGTAATACACTGTAAAGTTATATGTGATTCAATGTAATATAAACAAGATTATGGTAATAAAGAAAGAGAGAAAATAAGTAAAAATAAATAAATAAAATTGTCTGATGATGATGGCAGGGCTAGTCAGTGGCTAATGATTAAGGTTGCTGGATCCCACATAGCAGACTACAAAGTTTAAGTCCTGGATACAGTGGTTTGAAAAACATGCCAGGCATGTGTGCCTAAAATCCCAAGAGGGGAATAGAGAAGGGACTATGGTATGGTCACCATCCTGAGGAGTGCTTTCTCATTTTCTCTCTCTCTCTCTCTCTGGTAAGCATCCATGCCCTAAAGCAAACATTAAAGATGATAATGGGATGGGACCAGCAGGTGGCGTGGTGGTTAAAGGAGCTGGCTTCCCACAGGGCTGACTGTGGTTCAAGTCTAGGACCTGGTGGCTTCCTTTCTCACTTTCCCTTTCTCTCTCTGGTTAAATTAAAAAATAACAACAATTGGAATTAATTAAATAAATAATTCTTTTTAAAATTTTTTTTTAAAAAGATAACAATGGGGGAACCCAGCAAGTAGTGTGAGAGGTAAGGCTCTGGGTCCCATGTGGCTGGCTGCAGTGTGAATCTTAGACCTGGCAGCGTGAAAATCACACAGGGTATATGCATGCTTGGCCAAAATCCCAAGAGGAGAACACAGAAGGGACTGCTGCATGGCCACACCCTCTGGGGGGAGATTTCTCAGTTTCTCTATCTCACTCTCTCTGGTGAGTGCACTGCCCTATAGCAAAAAAAATAACAATGGCAGATACAGATTTTAGTAACTTTAAAGAAATCTTTTCTAATTTTCTTCATGCAGATCTGTTATCTTTTATGAACAATATTAGCAATCTTGTAAACATGTTGTGATTGAAAATAGTATCTTTTTTTATATTATTTTTACTGTTACACAGAAATGGATATTGAGGGACCAGCAGTTGGCTTAATGGCTGTGTCCCATGTCAACCACAGTTGAAGACTCGGACCTGGTGGCTTAAACTTGCACCGGACACCTATGCATGCATGCCCAAGATCCCGAGAGGAGAAGGGATTGCGTGCCCTATAGCAAAAAACCTCTCCAAAAGAAAATAAAAATAAAAATGGATATAGAGAAGTACATGCGCCCTATAGCAAAAATCTCTCTTAAAACAAAACAAAACAAAACAAACCTCTGTATTCTGTAAAAGGTCCTCTCCTCCTCCTCAGCCAGTTCCAATGTCCTTATAACATTTACTACATAATCTTTTTTTTTTTTCTGGAGAGGTTTTTGCTATAGGGCGCATGCGCTCGCCAGACAGACAGAGACAGAGAGACAGAAAGCGAGAGATCACTCCCCAGGGGGTATGGCCACGCCGTAATCCCTTCTTCTCCATTCTCCTCTCGGGATCTTGGGCACGCACGCACACGCGCCCGGTGTGAGTTTTAAGCCACCAGGTCCGGGACGCGAACCGCGGTCGACTACATGGGAGTCCAGCGACATAGCCATTACGCTAACTGCTGGTCCCTGTATAATCTTATTAAATGTTATCTGCTGCTAAAAGGGCAGAATACCGTTTGCTTCAGTAGCAAATATACAAAAAGGGAAATGCCGTAAGTCTCATTTTTGAAAGAATTCTAATCAGATATATAATCACACTGCCTGACACAAACAGGTAAGGCAGAAAATTTTTGAACTTTAAAAATTTTTTTTCTTTGTCAGAGGGTGCATGCCTCATCAGAGACAGAGACAAAGATGGGGAGAAAATAGCCCCCCAATGGGAGGTAGTAACGCTGCAATCCTTTTTCCTACATCCTGTAAAGATTTGGGGCACACATGCATATCCGTGCCCTGTGTGTTTTCAAGCACCAGGGCCTGGATGTGAACTGCTGTGGGCCATGTAGGAACTGGCTTTCTATGCATAGCACTTAACCAGTGCACCAATGGGCTGTCCCAGAAATGTTTATATTTCTAAGTGTGCTGAGGACATCATAGGAACTCAGAAACTATTTGTCTGATCCATTTTCAGGTCACAGAATGACTCACATCTTCAATATAAAAAGTTATTCATTCAAAAGAGATCCAATTAGTATCTTCTACACCTTTTCTGATCTTGAAATCAGATTTACCATGGGGGAATATGGAGGAGAGTGAATACTGATGCATTACCCCGACAAATGCAAAACAATTCCAAACCCACTCACCCGAATTCTCATCTGTTTGGCACATGCTGTCCAAGGCCTCCTGATCACCTTCTGCAGCGATGTATGCCCAAGTGTCTGTTTCATCTCTTGTATTTCTCCTTTCTCGGCTTGCCTGCTTGTTCTCCTTGGTTTTGTGATCTTCCACAGTTTTAGAATCCAGTGTTATTTCTTCTCTTCTCCTATTATTGTCAGGAACATCATTTTTCTCTTCTGGAGGAGTTAACTTAAACAAATCAAATGCATTTCTGATTTCCTTGAATGCTAGTAAAAAAATTAAAATTGTTGGTATGAATCACCAATATGTTATAATCAAAAGAAAATCTTAATTCTAACTGTCTGACTTAGCTAAGCTTAACTATCAAAGCCACAACGTTGTTTCATCTGGTCTACTGGCCATCAGTATTTAGAAAGACTGTCCAGTATGAAAAGTTGTTGAAATCATGTGTCCTGAACAATCACCTCCATTCTGACAAAGGTCTAGCGAAAATGGCTGACAGAAACCATTTCCGTACACGCATCTAAACGCACCATTACCTTACCTCCTGCTAAGGATATCAGCTTGCCTATGATGGGATCAGGGAGCATGCCCAGAAATGGTCTCTGATGATCAGTGAGGGGGAGAGAGCAGAGGACCAGAGCACTGGCTGTGCCTCTGACAAAACTGTACCTGGTACCAAGAGCTATTTACCTAAAGATAAAAGTGGAAGGCAGGCCTGGCCACAGTGATGCAGGCAGCAGGGCACCACTGCATGATGCTGGAGCCAAACGGGAGGAGACCTAGGGTTCAGATCCCAGGTCAATCTGGGCACACTGGGTGTAACTGTGATCCTGGCTGGCTGAAGTCTGAAGGAAGGATTCCATGTTGGGACCCTGTCAAGGACACCTGCCTTTTTGTTATGAAAGACAGACGTAAACTTAAAAAAAAAAAAAGGAAGATGAAAATAGACAACGCAATTATTCTAAGAGGTAACCCAGATAACCCAGGGCCAGCTAGCGGCATGATAGTTTAAGGCAAATGGATCCCATGTGGCCAACTTTGAATCCTGGTAGTAAGATAGTGGCCTGCAAAATATGCTGGGTACATGTGTCTGCATGCCAAAATCCCAAGAGGCGACTGGAGAAGGGACCGCAGCCTGGCCATTATCTGCCCTTCCCTCCCCTCTCCACACCCTGGGGCACACGCCTTATTAGTAAGGGAGGGGGAAGAAAAAACTAAAAAGAGAAAAAAAAATTAGGAAGAACAAAAATCAGGGTATGTGCTAGATTGGTTTTATTAGGTGGGGATACTACTGAACACCAGACTTGGTAAATTCCATTTATTAAGGGACCAAGAGAGTAGCCCCATTTAAGGCGATCACAGTGAAAGGTCCATTTAAGGCTATCTCCTCACAGTGAAAAGGGACCTTAAACCAACATACATGGTTCCAGAAGTTAATGAACCAGGTCCAGCTTTACAGTATTGTCAACCTCCAATAACTCTTTAAAGAACAGTTACGCGGGGGCCAGCAGGTGACATGGCGGTTAAGGGCTCTAGACTCCCACATGGCTGACATGGTTCGAGTCCCAGACCTGGCGGCTTGCTTTCTCACTTTCTCTCTTTAAAAAAAAAACAAAAAAAACCCCAAAATCAGTTAAGTGTTAAAGATTTTGATCACTACCTTGAGCAAACACAGTCCTTAAATAGTCACTTTACCTGTAAACCCACAGAAATAGCACAGCTCCCTCTCAGCCTGGATTACATGATACTACTGCTGCACCCTGGCCCAGGCTTAGGACAGAATTACTTTTTTATTACTTCAGCTACATACAGCTTTTAGGAGAAAGCCTAGGGAGAATGATCCATCTCTCAGAATCACTTGCATCCACGAGGACAGGCATTTCAAGTGCTCTGGTTAATAAACTCAAGTATTTACCTGCTAAGGCTACTCAGACACTGTGATGGTACTTTTTAATGAAGTACTTGTTACAGTATTGCCATCTGTCATGGATTCTTATTTGTGGTATAAACTGAAGTGACCCCAAATGTATGTATGCATTATATTTACGCAAATGACACAGAATTAAATACAATGATTAAACAAATATTTGTTTTATTTAGTATCCACTATAAAATACAAATTTACTTTTTGGTTGTACTATAATCCTAACCTACTGCATCATCACACTGAAAGGGGGAAGAGTGAGGTGAACAGAAGGAAAATAATTACACAAATTATTATAATAAACCTAGGTAATTAGTTAAATAAAAGTAACATAAGACACAAAAAAAGAAAGTAACATAAGACTAAATTCCCCAGTAAATAAATTTTCCACTTTTATGGCAATGAAGGTTAGAACAGAGACTATTTTCACAGTAAATTAATTTATTTGATAAAAGACAGTGATGTGGGGGCCAGCAGGTGGGGTGGTGGTTGAGGTGTTGGATCCCACATGGCCAACTACATAGTACGAGTCCCAAATCCAGCGGCTTGAGAAACACTTAGGATGCATGTGCCTAAGTGTATGCCCAAAATCCCAAATGGAGAATGGAGAAGAATATATTGTGGCATGGCCAGGTTCCCTAGAGGGTGATTTCTTACTTTCCCTCTCTGTCTCTGGCAAGCTCACACACCCTATGACAGAACCTTAAAAAAAAAAAAAAAAAAAAAAGAAAGAAAGAAAGAAAGAAAGAAAAAAAGATAGTGATGTAAATGGTAAAATGTTAGTATTTACACTCACTCTTAAATCCTTTGGGCTCTTTCCAGCCTTTTTCTTCCTTGTCTGAATCATGCCTTTTCTGGTATTTTTCTTTGGGCTCATATTTTTTGCTCTCTTTATCCTGAAAAATACATACATAAGACCCAAAGAACAAATAGACAGAGTTGATACTATATATAAGAAAACTAGAAATTAGGTTGCTGGTGTCAATGACTACTTTTTTATACTATGGTACATGACCATTGCTCATTAAATCTTTTTCACATAAGTTGCTCCCTTACTCAAGACTTCCCTTTAACAATATGCTACAAATTCAAAAACCCAACCCCAGTTTTCTCCACTCACAAGTAAGAATGTTATTAGTATAAAATAGTGGGCCACATGTTGGTGTAGTAGCAATACAACTGAACTTACAAAAAAAAAGGCCCAGGGTTAATGTTCTGGTATCTCCTCAAGCATGCTAAGTGTGCACATGCGTGGCCCATAATCCCAGACTGGCTTGGGGGAGAAGTCTATATTTGAAGATGCTGCTGAGGTTGCCTGTTTCTCTCATGAAATAAACAAATGAAGTTTAAAAAACAATTGGCTCAGCTACAGTGGCACAGGAGGACACTGTTGCATGATTCTGGACAGGGAGCGTCCCCTCACCCCCGCCCTTTAGATCCCAGGTTGACCTGAACAGACCAGATGTACCCATAATCCTGGCCAGCTAACAGGCTGGTCTGGGGTCCCTGATTCTCTTATAAAAGAAATAAACTTCTAAAATATTTTTTAAAAGTTTAAATACATACTTACAAAATTCAAAAATTTCTACCTACTCTTATTAACCCACATATGACTACTTTTTGTTCCACTAACCATATGATTAGTATTTCAATGGCTATAAAACAATCCCTAACATTTTCCTTATTATTTTCCCCATGATTAGACAATTTTACTGCTGGAGGTAATATTGCCACAAATATTGCTGTATATACAGCTTTTTTCTTCTTTGAAAATGATTTCTTTGGGACCAGCAGGTGGCGTGGTGGTTAAGGGTGCTGGACTCCCACATGGCTGACCACGGTTCGAGTCCTGGACCTGAAGGCTTGCTTTCTCACTTTCTCTCTCTCTCTCACTCTGTCCCTCCCTGGTCAAATTAAAATAAATAAAGTTAAATAAAATAATTCTTAAAAAAAAAAAAAAGACAATGATTTCCTTAAGAAAAATTCCCAAAGTTGGGAATAATAGATAAAAAGAAAACATTTATAGCTCTTGATAAATACTGAATATATAAATACTTCCATAACCAAAAAATATTTCCATTAAAAAATAATCTTATAAAAAGGGAGCAGCAGTTGGCACAATGGCTATATTATTGGACTCCCATGTAGTTAACCATGGTTCAAGTCCCGGACCTGGTGGCTTAAACTCATGCTGGACGCGTGTGCGTACATGGAGAAGGGACTGTGGCATGGACATGATCCCCAGGGGGTGATTTCTCGCTTTCTGCCTCTGTCTTTCTGGGGAGTGCACGTGCCCTATAGCAAAAACCTCTCCCCCAAAAATACATAAATAATCTTATAAAAATAGACATTTTACTTTTTTAAAGAATTTTTTATTTTTTATTTATTCATTCATTTATTTTAATTTGACTAAAGAAAGACAAAGACAAAGATGAAGGCGCAGGGGGGGGATGGTGAAAAAGAAAGTCACCAAAGCCGAGACTCAAACTGTGGTCACCCATGTGAGAATGTCCAGCACTTTAACCGCCAAGCCACCTGTCGACCCCCATATTTTCTATTAACTATGTTTTTATAAGAATAAAAAAGACTTTTGGGGCCGGCAGGTGGCATGGTGGTTAAGAAGCTGAATTCTCATGTGGCCAACAGCAGTTTGAGTCCGGGACCTGGTGGTTTCTTGCTTTCTCGCCGTTTCTCTCTGGTCGAATTAAACAATAAGTGGAATTAAAAAAAAACTTAAAAAGATTTTTAATGTTGGAACCAGAAGGTGGCATAGTTTAAGGCGACTGGATCACATATAGCCAACTTTGCAGTTCAAGTCCCAGACCCTGCGGCTTGAAAATCACACTGGTCATATGTACATGTGAGCCCAAAATCCTGAGAGGAAATGGAGGAGAAGGGACTGCAGCGCGGCAGCCCCACTGGGAGGTGATTTCTCACTCTCTTTATCTCTCTCTGCCTCTCCCACGAGCATATGCATCCGACCCTTCTAATGTTAATGTATGTTGTCTGTCTATACTATATACTTACGCATATATATACTGTATACTTAAGTAAAAAGTGGTGTATTTTTAAGATGATGAGGGGATAAATACTCGGTGGTGAACAGCTAGCCTCATAAATCTATAAACAGGACTATATAGTACTACATATCATCTGAGTGCCTTTAAAAAATAAACCCTGACTTTTGTTCACAATTGAGCCCTGGTTTCTAACGGTCGTTGGTCTAAATGAAAACAAGCCACAGACTAAGAGCTGGCTGGGAGGCCCAAAGGCTAGAAGATCCTCTGCATTTACAACTGCCCACAGTGCTCACACTGTTCACTTACTGATGATGGAAACGCTCTTACAGTTGGACTGTTCCACTCTTTGTGAAAGTTCGTGCCTATTCACAACAGTGCTGATTTCTGTGTTTCTGCATTTTACAAGATTTTCAGTATCACCCTTACCTCCTCAGCAGAGTCAGAGGACCGGAGACTCCTTTCTTCCCAACCCGATCTTGAACCCTTCTGTATTTGGGAAGATGAGAGTGCTGGCTTATCTAACTCAGTGGTAGTTTTGCTTCTGTCCTGATTCCTTTGCTTCTTGGCCATAGCTCTCTTCTCTAAGAGAGTGTTCTTATTTTCTACTTTCTTGGGTTCCTCAGTCTTCCTTGGTTTTTTCTTCTTCCTCCTGACTTTGATATCTGTATCCTCGTCTGCACTCAGGCTGCCCTCTAGCTGTTTATCAAAACCATTATCCTGAGCTGCATCTTGTCCTGTTCTATCTTTATCATATTTAACTTTCTGTTTCTCTTCTGTGTTGTCAGAAGGTAAATCTTCATTGTCATCCTCCTGAAAAGGGGAATCATGAAACACACTTGATTCAGATTCCAACTGAGATTCAACACACTTCTCTTTTTTTGTTTTTCTGTTTTCTTTGGGATCATCTCTTATTTTAGTCTTTAAATCTCTCATCTCACCTTTTTTATTAACTTTCTTTAATTCTTTAGTTTCTTTTATTTCATCTTTTTTGGGCTTTTTGGATTCCTTTAATTCTTCTTTGACTTCGAAAATTCTTTTCTTTGTTCTTAAATCAAAACCGAAGTTTTCTGAGGGACCTTCTAGGTCTGGCTTGGACTTATCTTTCAGTTTCCCAGTCTTGACTTTTTTCTTCTTCAGATCTGGGCTTTTCTCTTCTCTTTGGCTTAATTTCTTCTTTTTCTTCCTCGGAGAAGTATCTTCTTTTGTCTCACTTTGTGGCTCACTATCAGAGTTTGCTTCAAATATGTCATTACTTAAAGACAGTCTCTATAAAATACAAAGAAGGGTAAATACTCATTTATGTGGTAAGTTCTGAAAAGCAATACTAATGAGACCTGGCAAAAATGATTTTTTTCTAAGTAGATTCTATACTTCTTAAAATTATCTACCTATATTGAAGTTGCATAACATATTTCTTATACGTATGATTGAGCTAATAGATCTTGGTAGTGAAAATGAGCAAACAAGCACAGACAGAGGGGCAGGACACTGCCAGTGCTGCTGAAAGGCAGGAGTGAGAAACAATAGTCTCATGTACGATGGGTTCTAAATAGTTTGAACTTCAAAATTTCCAAAAAAAACCATGAAAGTAATTTTTACAGGCTTTCTTGGTTGCCAACAAAGTAGTTACCAACCCAAAGACAAGTCTTCTAACATCTTGTTTCCCAGAATATCCTTAAATTTGCTATTATATTTCATTTGTACACAAATCTTACTCAACTGGTTTAATTTGTGCTATATAATCTAAACATTCTTATGGGAAAAAAAAAAAGAGGAAAATGTATTTTCCTATTCTAAAATTGAAAAAGAAACCTAAGGCCCAGCTATAGTAGTGTTTTTGATACTTCTGCCCAGCAGGTTTAGGTCAACATGGAGGAGGGGGTTCAATTCCTCAACCACACTTAAGAGCTAGGCATATGACCATGGTCCCAACTACTCAGGACGCTGAGGCTGAAGGATCACAGCATAGTAACACCCTAAGACAACACACACACCACACACACATACAGAAAGAAAGAGAAGCCTAAAAAATGAAGTATTTGAACAGACACAAAAATATTATATAAAGTGTTTTCAGTTCCCATTTCACAAAACTGTCTTATCCTAAAAAACAAACAAACAAGCAAACAAACAAACAAAAAAACTGTCTTATCCTAAAATGACTTGGAGATAGGGTCTTGGTAACATATTCTACCAAAGTAACAGACAATGGGACTATGTGATATTGGCTTAACTTTCTCAGTCTTCTCAAATCACTTTATAAAAAACAAAGCAACAAAGATAGCAACACAAAACCCCCCACAAACAACATCCACAGCAAAATTAAATGGCAAAGTATCTCAGAGAACACCAAAATATCAACAGATAAGGACAAAACTGCTAAGAGCTATGAGACCTGCATGGTATGGATAGCCATATAGGAGGAAGCGATGGCGGCCATCACTGCCAGGATGCAAAGGAAGAAATCACTAAAAAGCCTGGCCCCTTTGAGAAGAGCAGCTGACCCTGACCTTCAAAAGCAACCAGCCAAGTTCCATTCCAGGACTTCCATAACAAAGGGTTACAAATGAGGAGATACAGTAGGACAGAGAAAATAGAAACAAAGAAAAGCTAAGCTCCAGACCCAGCATCTGTAGCACGATATCAACTGCCATTCAAGTCTCTGTCCCAGTTGGCCTGAAAACAAATGTGCCCAGGGTCCTGGCAGGCTGAAGGATTAGAAGGAGATCAAAGTGTGACTGAGCCCCAAGGAGCATGTTCCTCTCCTCTTCTGATGTGTGCACAGTCACTCTATCATGATTTTTTTTTAAAGTAGGGGGTGAGAAGGGCTGGCTGGAGACCCATGGTGACTAGATTCTATGTGGCCCATACATAGTTGGAGTCCTAGACCCAGCAGCTTGAAAAACATGCTGCGGGCATGTGTGTGTGTCCAAAAATCCCCAAAGGAGGGAGAAATAGAAGAGAAGGGATTGCAGTGTGACCAATCCCTATGAAGGGATGCTTTCTCACTTCCTCTCATCCCAGCCGTACATACAACCTCTACAAAATTAAAAAGGAAAAATGGAATTAAAGTACAAGCTTATTAACTTAAAAAAAAAAAAGAAAGAAAGAAAAGAGAAAATCCAGACATAAGTGATAGCAGGAGTAAAACAGAGCCAGAGAAATCTCAAGGTTAGGCCTTCCTTTTTTTAAAAATTTGCCAAAGTGTTCACGTGCTCATCAGCAAGAGAGAAGAGAAAAAGTGAGAAAGCACCCACCATGGGGCCTGAGCATGTGCGCACACACACCCCCAGTGTGTTTTTCGAGTTGCTCAGTCCAGGACTACAACTATGCAGCTGGCCATGTGGGATCCAGCACCTTAATCCCACGACACTTGCTGGCCCAATTATTTCTAAAAAATAACAAAAGGTAAAATCAAAAAGTTAAGTACAAATTGATTTAATTTATGAATAGAAACTATAATGAAATCTAGAAGAGCTAAATGGAGAAATTCTTCCAAGATTTATTAATAAGTAACACAATTATTCACGGAATAAGACAATTAAGGATAAAACTGGACAAACCCACAAAGGAAAACTCCACAACCAAATTTGTGGATTAGTTTAGTATTACTTCACTCTAACAGACTCTTGAGGCTATAAGTTTGACTTGTTTGGGTTCCTTTTTTTTGAAGAGGTTTTTTTTGCTATAGGGCGCATGCGCTCGCCAGACAGAGAGACACAGAGAGGCAGAAAGCGAGAAATCACTCCCCAGGGGGGATGGCCACGCCACAATCCCTTCTCCTCCATTCTCCTCTCGGGATCTTGGGCACACACGCACATGTGCCCAGCGTAAGTTTAAGCCACTGGGTCTGGGATGCGAACCGCAGTCAACTACGTGGGAGTCCAGCGACATAGCCATTACGCCAACTGCTGATTCTGGTTCCTTTGATCTCTTTATTCTTGTCTACTATCAGAGTAACTAAAAAAACAGCTAAACATTGAAGTATGAACAGAAGTAAAATAAGATCTAGACAAATCAGCCTGTTAATAACCTAAAATGGATTAAAATGTATAGCTTTATAAAGCTACCTAAGAATTGTTTTATTTTGACTAAGAGACATGACATATGTTAATAATATAGATTAAATATAAGTGTATGTTGTATCTATAACAGTAATATTGTGAATTCAAAAAAAAAAAAAAAAAAGAAAGAAAATACTCAACACCAACCAAAATAATATGTGGCAATATACTTCAAATATACAAAAATAAGTTGCTCATTAGGACCAGTAGTTGGCGTAATGGACATGTCATTGGACTCCCATGTAGTTGACCACGGTTCAAGTCCCAGACCTGGTGGCTTAAACTCACACCAGGCACGTGTGCATGCGTGCCCAAGATCCTAAGAGGAGAATGGAGGAGAAGGGATTGCAGCATGACCATCCCCCCGAGGGGTGATTTCTCGCTTTCTGTCTCTCTCTGTCTTTCTGGCGAGTGCATGCGCCCTATAGTAAAAAACCTCTCCAAAAAAAGAAAAAAAGAGTTGCCCATATCATGAATGAAGAAGTGAAGTTTTGACTTGGGCATTTTTTTTTAAAGTCATCTTACCTTTAAAGGAAGGTATATTAATCAACTTCATGTCCAAATCATACTTGCTTGCAAACAGAAAGAAGTTTGCAAAAATCAATGAACAGAGCCACAAGAATCAACTGATTATATGAAATTTACATTAGGAAATATTGTGTAATTTACTATGACTTGTAAATTGTTTACTATTCATACTTTGTATCAATAAACTTTATAAAAAAATATATGTACCTAAAATCCAAAAAAGAAATATCATGCAAATGTGATACCTGAATATCTTTCTTGACTGCTTTAGCTTTGGTCTCTGCAACTTTCTTCCGAAATTCAAGAAGAACTTCTTTACAATCCTCCAGATGAACCTCAGGCTCCCAGGTATCATCATCTGATGTATAGCCTTTCCATCGAACTTTGTAAAGGATTTTCCCCTGTCATACAAATTAAGAAGAGGCAAATAAAGCATATTGTTGACATGATTAGATTTCCCAAAATACAAAGTGTAAGAATATGAAATAACTTTAAATGGAAATGAATTTCACATTATAAAGTATATTCACCACTGAGGCAAGCGGTTTTACAAAACTGTAAGAGTATCACTGATCTCTCCTTATAAATCAAAGACTAAGGTCTTTTTTTGACTATATAAAGCAATGTAAAAAAAATAGAACCAAATAAATGTCACCCAGAGATACTGATGACAATTTTATTTATTTTCTTCATCTATTGAAATTATTAATAAATGTTTAACATGTTTCAAAACACTGGGCCAATACTATAATTTTTTTTTTTGGCGGGGGGATGCATAGGGTGCATGCACTTGCCAGAGAGGAGAGACAGAGAGATGGAATGTAAAAAATCACCCCCCGAGGGAATGGTCATGTTGCAATCGTTCTCTTCCATTTTCTTCCTAGGATTTTGTGCATGAGATCAGCATGATTTGCAAGCTACCGGGTCCAGGAAGCAAGCCACAGTTGGCCATACGGGAGTCTAGCACCTTAACCATTATGCCACCTGCTGGCTCCAATACTATAACTTTTAATCTTGCCTTTTCACTTACGTATCAAACACTTCTCATTTATTTTATTTTTTAATTTGCTAGAGGGCACATGAGCTTGCTGGAGGGGAAGAGTGGGACATGTAAAGGGAGACAGCGGAGTTGAGAAAGTACCTCCCCTCGGGGGATGACGACATCATGATCCCTTTCCATTTTTCCCTCCATTCAGGATATTGGGCATGCAAGCACACTAGGACATGCTGTTCAGGCCACCAGGTCTGGGACCTGAACAGCACTGCTGGTCATGTCAGATCCAGTCACTTTAACTACAAATCATCAGCTGGCCCCCTTGTTTTAGTACTTAAAAAAAACATACATTTAGAACCGGCAGATGGCATTAATGGTAGCATCACTGGATTCCCACGTAGACAACCGTGTGGTTCAAGTCTTGGACCCAGTGCCACACGCATGTGCATGGCCAAAATCCCAAGAGAAGGAACTGTGGCTTGGCCATTCCCCTGGGAGAGGTGATTTCTTGCTTTCTGTCTCTGTCTCTCCAGCAAGCGCACATGCCCTATAGCAAAAATCTAAAACAAGGAAAACCCACATAATTTTTAGTAAGTGAAGATTATTCTATCATATAAATTATTTGTTAACCAAAGGTTGTTTAGCTGTTCAATTTTTGGTTTTTATAAATAAAGCTGTAATTAAAAAATACAACACGAATCCATTTTTATTCATTTACTTTTCATTATTTTAAATCCTTGAGGGCTACAGCATCACACGGATTCTGTTTCTAAAGACCTTAGCAGGAAGGTTGCTTCAGAATTTGGCTCGAACCATGCCACTGTTTCCATGGGCATGGGTAACCTTTCCCCAGATTACTCTGGTTTTATTTGGTTTGCCACTGGGAGTCCACTATTGCTTTTGCTTTGTACACATAAGCACAACTCTTGCCTAAATATAATTCAGTTTCATCTCATGCATAAACACCTTCAATTTTAAGAAGAGCTGTGAGTTCCTTTGGTTCCTGAGACCATGCTGATAGCTAGTAAAAATGGCCTTGGATCATAGCCTTCCAGACATAGCTGCCTTTTAGAAGTCCTGTTCCCAGCAGGCCTCGGTTATTTATCCCCAAAGTTCAGCAGCAGAATCCTCACTCACCTCCCTAAAGCTGTAATATTTTTATGATGTCAGATTAGGTGAGCAAAAACTCCTCAAAAAAGAGATCAATTTAGGTAAAAATATATAGTCGTTAAAGGGACCAGCAGTTAGCGTAATGGCTATGTTGCTGAACTCCCACGTAGCGTGTGTGAGTGCCCAAAATCCCTAGAGGAGAATGGAGGAAAAGGGATTGTGGCATGGCCACCACTAACCCCCCCCCCGGGGGGGTGGTGGTGATTTCTTGCTTTCTATCTCTCTGTCTGTCTGGCGAGCTCTCATGCACCCTATAGCAAAAACCTCTCAAACAAAACAAAACAAAACAAAACAAAACAAAAAAAACAAAAACGTTAAAGCACATTGCCAAATGTCTTCTAGAAAAGATGCTCCCAATTTACATTCTCACCAGATACAAGAACCCACTTCCCTATACTACAGCAGAATCTGCAGACCTGTTTTTGCTCCTCCTTTGAGATAAGAATAGCTTTATATCTTTAAATAATCAAAAACAAATGTTAAGAATTACATTTGTAAATCTGCTCTAATCTACACAAGGAGCCTATGAACTAGGTACTATTATTCATTTTATAGATGAGAAAAGAGAAACTTTTAGAAAAGTAACTAGTCAATGCTCACATAACCAGTAGATAGTTCAGCTGAAATTCTAACCCAGAATCCTACTCCAGAGGCTTTGCTCTTAACCTGCTTCTGCGTGAAAAGCTACTCAACACTGTGAGTGAGGTGCCTAAGTCAGACACAGGACAGCAGCTCACCCTGGAGAGTTCCCAAAGGGAAGGAAAGATCACCATGTTTGAGAGAAGCAAGGAAAATTTTATGTGAGAATGAGACGAGACCACGTTTCTACCACAATGATGGGAAAACTAATTTTAACCCCAATTTTGCTTAACTTGCAAGGCCTAGGCCAAAATCCCAAGATGGAGAATGAAGAAGGAATTGTGTGACTATGCCCCATGGTGAGGAGAGGTGCCTTCTTCCTCACCCTGTCTCTATGTCTCTCTGCAGTAAGAGCATTCATTCTGTGGCAATTAAATGGGAAAAAACCTGGGCCAGCAGGTGGCATGGAGTTTAAGGTGGCTGGATCCAAAATGGCCAACTGTGCAGTTCGAGTCCCGAAGCTAGTGGCTTGAAAAATGATGCTGGGTGGCTTGAAAAAAACAAAACAACAACAACAAAAAAACCGCCGGGTGCCTTAATGTGCGTGCCTAGAATCTCAAGAAAACGCAAGAAAAGGAACTGTGGTGTGGCCATCCTACCTGGGGAGTAATTTCTCACTTTCCCTATCCTGCCCCAGCAAGCACATGTGTCTTATATAAATAATAATCTTAGGTCAACAGGTGACAGGGTGACCTGGCTGCTTGCTTTTTCACTACCCGGCCCCTCACCGCCACCCTGTCTTTCTCTGGTGAGCACATGTGCCCTCTAGCAAATTAAAAATAATAATTAATTAAATTTAAAAAATAATCATCTGATACGCACTAAGCAATTGCTTGATGCTAGGTACTGATGTGCACGCTAGGCACTGGTCTAAGTTCCAGTGATACAGAGATTAATAAAAAACCATACCGTCTGGATTAAACCATGATCTGGCTGGTGAGACAAATGTAAAGAGGATGACAATGATTTCAATGCCTAACAGAGGCCTACACAAAGTGTAACAAGTGCAAAAGGCACCTCTCTGTAGGGATCAGGGTCAAAAAAGGCTTCCACAGAAAAATGTACCCCAAATTCTTCAAAAACTGAGCTCCACCTTCACCAGAACAGGGAAGAGAACAGGTCAGGCAGGTCCAGCAGTACGCATGGAGGCAAGACGTGATGAGGAATGGATTCCTGTGTGGATACAGTTATACAGGCAGAGGAGCGAGCATATTGGTGTGGTTCTGAAGACCTTTAAATGCCCCCCAAGACTCTTAGGTCAGATTGGGATTTTATTCTGAGAGTGAAAGAGAATTCTTCCAGATTTTAAGTCAGAGAATGGACTGTTGTTTTGGAAAGCGCTAAAATGATGGTGCGGGCAACGGACTATGATGAAAAGCATTAATTTCACCATCATCCCTTCCACAGAGCAGCGACCCAACCAGGCAGCCAGGCATCGATGACCCCAGAAGTCCGTCAGCAGCTGCTCGCCCCCTAGCGGTCCTCACATCACATCCCAAACTGTTCCAGCTCTCCGGCCGACACAATCCTCTAAAACTTCTCGAGGCATCTTTCGCACACCGCCCCAAGGGCCCGTCAGGAACGCCTTTCCGCTCCTCTGACGATTCTGTGCGCTGCCGTTTAGCTGGGACTGCCGGGCGGCAGTTCCGTCCCCGCACAGGTCGGTGCTCCCAGGTAACCTCCCCCCCGCCGTGCTCTCGAGCGCCCCACC